AAAGAGGAAGAACTTCAACTCCATTGGTGAAACAAGAAGAAGAAATCATCATAGTTTCTTCAAAATCCTGGCAGCAGCAAACCGTCACCTTGTGAGCCATTTTCATATATCTTAACGTCATTATTTCAGTCTGATTTCTGAACAAAAGTTGTAGCCTCGTGCCTCGCGAATCCAACGCATCAAACGGTTTGCGATTTCGTTGAGAAACGAAGGAGATATGGTAAAAATACCGAGACTGCGTCGGTGGCGACGGGCCTCTCGGGTTTGACTACTTTCTTTTCAATATTCTTTCCATTCCGTTCAAAACTCTTATCGTCGATTCTCTAACGATTATTAGGAACTCCCAGAGAGTATCGTAGAGAAGACCCGACGTTGGAAGCTTGAAGTTGATAGAGGTGTCCGTACGTTGAACGTTCGTTGAGGCGTATACTTTATTCCTATCACTTCCGTCTTCAATGTTATCAAGGCGAGTACATTGCACCCTAGCTTAATTAAATGATATTTTTATCAGATTTCATCCAAATAAAATAAAGTATATTTATCCAATCATGTTGTTTACAAATTGTTCATATCATGTGATTCATTTCATCATCCATATTGAAACATATCACATCATGTGCATGCGCAAGAGATGAGTCGGAAGTGCGTCTCTTGTAGTTGTGATTGTGCGGGACTTAGCAGTCCGACATCACGGACCGGGCTTAGTGTACGTACATGGTACTTAGGCTTTCGAGTATCACCCCTATTTCTGCGTGAGTTCGTCGTACAAAATGGGCGAATCTCATAGTTCAAGGCTTGTCCTTGTGACCTAGAATCATACAGCATGAACTTATCATCAAGCAAATGCAATCATTATGACTATGTATGACATCCATTACGTATCACTATCATCATTTGAGCATACATGCTATATTATGTCATATCATGATAATTATATGTCTACTTGCTATTCATTTTGGAATTGTTGTATTAGCGTATTCCTCAGCTGACGCTGAGCGTGTAGTTTGTTTTACTTGCTACACGCACGTAACAATACTGATCATGGAGCCCATCCCGGAGGTCAATGAGAGTGACGAGATGTACGGACTGGTGGACCACATTTATGATGTTTTAATTAAATAAATACCTTTTCGGGCGAGAACCCAGAAAAATGTAAAACAATTTGATTATGTTTTATATTTAAGCTTCTGCACTGTTTCAGCAATACTCTGAATTTAATATTTGAAATTATCATTTATATTAAAGTTTAAATTGGTTTTAAATTATTCCTCAAATTGTTATGCGTATTTACCATCATGGTAACTACTTCGGCTCAAAGAATCTATGTAATTGGGTTATTCGAGTTGGGGTGTTACACACTCCGTATAATTGCATTAATGGCTTGGATTGTAAAAAGTATAATTGATTTGCTTTATGGAGCCACGCACCACTTTAATTTACTTTATGGAGCCACGCACTACTTTATTTTACTTTAAAAGTAGTGATTAGACTACTCTTATCAATGATTAGATCACACATTAATGACCCCATCAAATTACGTCCCATAGGCCCAATATCTACCCAGCGTAAATCGGCCCACTCCAGCAGCTCCAAAATTGGCGGGAACACTGTTCCAATTACAATCCTATCATTGTATATAGTAAGATAATAGAAGTAGGATGAAAGGTTCTTAAATAAGTTATATAACTAATAAAGATGCATGTGTAATAAAGTTTATGTAAAAATTTGAATTAAACACTGTAGTTAATAAAGTTGTATAAAGATAAAGTTTATGTAAATTTTTTTAGAAGTACTCCGTAATAGAAAAATAAATGGTAGGGTGCATAGTTTCAAAATTTATATACAGTTTTGTTTTCTCAATGGATAAAGTTTATATTAAATTTTTAAATAACTACATACTTTTGAATATTAACGAAATATGTTCTAATAATGAAATGAATATTTTTAAATAGTTAGAAAGTGAACGGTTTTATAGAATTTTAAATAATTAATTGTTATTTAATATTAAAAAGTGAAGGGTGAAGAAATTTTTTTAGGAAATTTTAAAAATTTTAAATATTTCTTGAATAAGTGAAGGATTACTGAATAATTTATTCTTAATAATTTAATTTAAAGGATTTATTGAAATTTTTTATTTTTAGTAATTTTATTTTTGATGAAAAATAAAAGTTTAATCTCATGTCAAGTATAATTAAATGAAGTCTAACTTATAAATCAAATGCCACATAATATGCCACATAACAAGTTTTTATGGGGTGATTTCCCCGTTTGTGTAAATGAAATGTTTGACTTTCCATTATATGTAACTGCAAAAATATTTTTCTTGTTAAATGTATAACGGATTAGGATACTCCATTTTCAAAGAATAATTTGTATTAATGGAGTAAGTTGCTCCGTTTCATGTAGAAAATGAACTAAAGGACCCCGTTTTAGGCCCTTTTAAGTATAACTAGTATCACACTCGTGCGTTGCACGTGTCCTTTTTTATATTATTAAATTCAAATCATTTTTCAATGATAATAAATGAGATGCAATAGAATGTAGAGATTATATTATTTTAAGGTAAAAAAAACATCATTGCTTTACAAATTTCGAAAAACTTCTCTATAGACTATATTATTTGTACAATTTGTGGGAATATTATCTTCATTGCAAATTAGAATCTTCAAACCACTACGATTAGTTACTCTTGAAACTGCAACATAGAGATGTCCGTGACTAAACACAGGTTTCCCTTACAATAATCCAACATGTTTCAGAGATTGTCCCTGGCTCTTGTTAATTGTCATTGCGTGCGAAATAACCACATGGAATTGTCTTCTTTGAAACTTTGAGTGTGCGTACATTAGAATCTTTGATCTGAGCATGGATCTGATCGCCCTAACAACAAATAGAAAACATTCACATATAATTAAATTCATTTTTTAAAGATTTATATGTAAAATATAAAATAATGAAGAACTAACCTCTGAGTCGTGAAAAATTACATCCAATGATTCCGGCCCCCGAGAATGAGCAGGAACGTGATAAACTCTTACCGCTCTTAGTTTCATCATCAATAGTGTGGACCTCTCATCAATATTTTTTAAAGCGGTTATGATCCCCATGTTCGTACAAAAGGCGACGTTGAAGCATTGAACTAAAACACACATTGAATAATCTCAATACCTTGGCCTGAAAAAGGACCGTATTTATAGTATATAATTCTAATAGGCTAATTATTGTAAGAAGGATTAAATTTTTTCGAATTTGAGTCTATAATTATTCTTACCATAATTATTTTTTTCAAAACTGGTGTATAATTATTCTTACCATAATTATATTATACTATAATCATTGATTCCAATTACCAATTTCCTAGCCACATAGTTCTACATAATTAATTATTTCCAATTTCCAATTTCAAATCGTTGATTCCAATTTTAATAAAAAATTTACGCATTCCAGATTTATAACTTACCTAGTCACACGGTTATACAATCAATACGTTGGTTAATTATTACCTTTTTAATTATTTCCAATTTTAATAACGTAATAATAATAATGCTTTTAAACATATTTTGGATTTTTGGTTTTTTAGATTTCTGGATATTACCTTTTTTAATCATTTCTAATTTAAAATCGTTGATACCAACTTTAATAAAAATTTACGTTTTCCAATAAAGTAACTTACCTTTTTGCTAGTATAATTTCGGACATTTTAAAAATGACAGTTAATTATTATTACCATAATTTCGGACGCTTTCCAATCAGTACTCATAATAACGTTGGTTAATTATTACCATATAATGCGTTGATTCCATTTTTATTAAAAACTTACGCTTTTCAATTTTATAACTTTTTTTTTTTGAAATGAAAATGCTATATATAAATCACCAAAACACATCGAGTATTACACAATCTCCCACATCATTTTCCAACACTTCCTCTACCCACCCTTATACCTCCTAAAGGACACAGAACAATGATATTTAATGGTTCTAACTATCTCCTGAATTTGAACTTCTTTATCATGCCTTTTCCAATTCCTAGCCCTCCATATATAGTAGCACGCTGTGGCCCATCCAGCTAGCACTTCCTTCTCTTCCTGGGATGGTTCTTTGTTATGCCCTTTGCCATCTCTACAATATCTTCCCCTTCCAGTTTTGTCTTTATCCATTCAGCTATATGGCCTAACACTTCCTTGGCAAACTCACACCTGCAAAACAGATGAGAGATGTCCTCTTCCCCATTTTGGAAAAAGAAACATGTTGTGTCCAACTCCATAACTCTCGCCAGTCTAACTTTTGTTTGTATACACCCACGCATAATTAGCCACATTATAAACTGGCACTTTGGCAGTGTTTCCCTGTTCCACACCCAGTCTGTCCATATTGGTTTGGGATGTTCGCCTAGAAGCCATTCATAACCCTGTTGAGTTGTATACCTATCCCCTCTAGGCATGCTGGCAAACAGATTCCTGACTTTCATCATTTGAGTCCAATAGTTACAACAGTTATGCCTAGGGGTGTACTCCCAGTAGTTATCATTTTTGATGTATCTTGTGTGGATCCATTGCACCCAGAGTATGTCCTTATTGTGGATATCCCAATTTAGTTTCATGATTGAGGCTTTGTTCCATAGGACCATGTTCCTCAACCCTAGTCCTCCGCACCTCTTAGGAAGACAAGTTTCTTCCCAGCTCACTAATGGGACCTTACTGTATTCTGCTTTTGAGTTCTAGAGAAAATTTCTGCATATTGCTTGGATAGGCTTCATCACCTTAGATGGGATTAGGAAAATTCTAGCCCAAATGGTTATTATCCCCATGAGCACAGTATTAATTAACCTAACCCTACTTGCATATGTAAGGTGCTTAGAGCTCCAAGTAGTTATTTTAGCACAAATTTTCTCAACCAGCTTGTCACAATCCTGGATTGATAGCCTTGATGATGAGATGGGGCATCCCAGGTATGTAAAAGGAAGTTTTCCTTTATTCATCTGTGTGATGCTAATAATCTCCTTTTCCAGATCCTCCTTACAGCCTCCAAACACAATAGAAGATTTCTCCTTGTTAATTTGAAGTCCTGTACACTTGTTGAATCTTTCCAGCACCTCCATGACAACTTTAACAGATTTAACATCAGCTTTGCAACCCACTATTATGTCATCAGCAAATATTAGGTTTACCACCTTCAGGGATGCACATATAGGATGGTAACCAAACTTGGAAATTTTGGTAGAGTAGCTGAACAGGCGAGTTAGGTACTCCATAACCAGAACAAATAATAAGGGTGAAATAGGATCCCCCTGTCTCAGTCCATTTCTGCCCTTAAAATACCCATGAGGCTCACCATTAACAACTAGGCTATATGAGGGGGTAGTTACACAGAACATCACCCATTTGACAAACTGTTCAGGAAACTTCATATGAGTTAATATCCCTCTCACTGCTTCCCAATTAGCCGAGTCATAAGCTTTCCTAATATCCAGCTTCATATGAGTTAATATCCCTCTGATGCTAGACACCAAAGATATCCTTAATCTTAAGAGCAGGTCGTTGCTATCGCTAGGTTTGCAGCCATCCTCTTCTTCATCCAACGATGGGTTTGTTGTCAGCAATTGGGTCAGAGGCACGCTTCCCGGTTAAAAGATCTGCATCCGTTGTTGTCAGGGAGTAGGATACCGATTGAGGTCGGCAGTTGAACTCCGATTGACGGTGTTGTGCGATGGAGAGAATGGGATGCAGATCGCAGGGATGATGGAGTTGTGCGTTGGCAAGAAGTTTTTCAGAAGGAAGAGTCGCGTAGTTTTCAGCGGTTACAAGTCTAGAAATCCTTTTGGATCTGAAATAAAATCAATGGTTAGGATCTTTCAATTTTTTTATAAAATTGAAAATGGGCCCTTGATTATTTCTTGCGATCACGATTTATTCATTTTTCCTAGAGTGAAATTGGGCCGTTGATTTTTTATATTGGCGGGAAAATTAGATTCTCAATTTGATTCTTCTTTTATATATATAATAGATAATAGATTTTTCATACGTACATCTACAAGTTATATAGTGCTTATTTATTAACAGCATTCAATAAAACAATTAAAGCATGTGGATTAAAAAGATGTAACCAAACAAACATTTAAATTTACGGCTAGGTTCTAGAGCCACTCAAAAAGAGTGGCTACGGAAGCCACTCACCCAATTGGGACACCTACGTTGCTCCGTTCGCAAAATTGATAGTTCCTACCCCCTCTAACCCCCCCGGTAAACCCCCGCACCCGGTCCCGATCCCAACTCATCCCCCGACCCAGATGGGAGAATAGATTCCACCTTGAAAGGATTTGAAGTTTAGGTACCACTTTAAAATTCCAGCTAAAGTTCAAGTACCATTGGTGAAATTTTCCCGACAAATCTGGCTTGGCATGCCCCACCAACCATGTAAAAAACACATGTGCATATTCTCTTATTCTTTAAATAGCTATCATGCCCCTTATCTTTTCTTAAAGCCTGCTGCTCCACTTATCACATAAATATTAAAATCCTTCATTCATCGTTCATGAATACGGCCGGAAGTCAACCCCTTGACCTCACCGTGCTTGACCAAATCCCGGTGGCCCCTCCGCCGGAATCCACACCGGAACTCACCCTTCCCCTAACTTTTCTCGACCTTTTGTGGGTACACATGAGCCCTGTCCACCGCCTCATATTCTACCAACACCCCGTCTCAACCACCCACTTCCTTCAAACCCTTCTCCCCATCATCAAAACCTCGTTATCCCAAACCCTTCAATACTACAGTCCCTTAGCCGGCAGATTGATTGTCTCGCCCGACAACTCCGTCCTGCCGGAAATCCGTTACGCCCGCGGCGACGCCGTCCCGTTACTCATCGCCGAGTCCAAATCAAGCGGCGACGTTTTCGACCACCTCGTGTCGGACGGTGTGAGAAATTGCTCTGTTTTTCACCCGCTTGTTCCGAGCCTACCCCCTGCTTCAGACGGCGGCGGATCGGCCGTCGCCGTCCCTGTGTTCGCCTTGCAGGTGACGCTTTTCCCCGACGTCGGGATTTGCATCGGCGTGACCAACCACCACGTCATCGGTGACGGCAGCTCCATCTTTCGGTTCATGAAGGCGTGGGCTTTCTTGTCTTCTAGGGGTCGTGGGGTTGACCAAAACGCGTTACTGTCTCGATTCTTACCGTTTTACGACAAAACGGCGATCCAAGATCGGAAAGGACTGGGGAAAATATTCTGGGACAACTTGAAGAACACCAAGATTAAGGACACACACGTGCATCGTCTCCCCTCGATCGCCGACAAGGTCAGGGGCACTTTCAGAGTGTCACCGGACCAAATCAAGAAGCTCAAGAACCAAGTCCTGAGTCGCCGACCGGATCTGGTCCACGTGTCGACGTTCACCGTGATTTGCTCGTACGTGTGGAACTGCCTGGTGCGATCCAGACACGTGGAAGAGGAGGACGAGGAGGACGAGCTGTTTGCTTGCGCGGCGGATTGTCGGGCGCGTTTGGATCCGCCGGTGCCGGAGAACTACTTCGGGAATTGTCTCGCTCCCTGTTACGGGTACGCGAAGGTGAGGGAACTGGTGAGCGAAGGCGGGTTTGTGGCGGCGGCGGCGGTGGTCGGAGGGAGCATTCGCCGGCAACTGTACAATAAAGAAAAAGATGGAGTGTTCATAGGCGGAGAGGATTGGTTCAGTTTGATGGCGAAGTCGAATCCGGATCGAGCCTTGGTCGTAGCCGGGTCACCCAAATTTGACTATTACGGGTTGGATTTCGGGTGGGGGAAGGGGAAGAAGTTTGAGATGCCATCCATAGACATAACAGGGGCCATTTCTCTGAGTGCTGACCGTAATGTGGATGGCGGTTTGGAGGTGGGGTTGGCTCTGCCCGTTGCCCAAATGCACACTTTTTCCAAGATTTTTTCTGCGGGTTTGGAGGCTCTATAGTCTATATACGGGATGAATTCCCTCTTTGTGTAAAAAGCATAACGCATTTCATTATATGTAATTCAAATATACATTTTCTCTAATAATGCAAACTGGATTTGCCTACTCCGTTTCGGAGGTATTTATTTCCCCAAACAGATTAGGCTAATCCGTTTCTCTCATTTAATTACTAAACGGATTAGCCTAATCCGTTATGCCTTTAATTTTTTTTAATAATTTCTTAATGTACGGAGCTCATTTGTTGCCTATCTTTTCTTTAAACTTTTTTTAGTTATTTTATCTCCACTTTTATAAACTTTTTTTTAAACTTTTTTAATTTTATTTTATAAAATAATTGTATTAAAAATTTTTAAAATTTTAGTTTATGAATGAAATCAATTTACTTTTATTACTTTTAAATTATTTATAAGAAACTAAATTCATTACAAAATAAAGGAAACATACATAAAGATGTAAAAATATACTGTAATAAAATTTTAAAAAATAATATTTATTGACTTTAAGTTGTATTTATATAACGAGATTAAAAGAACAAGACGTAATTTAATAATTTTATTACTAGAGTGCACATAATAATTTATTCATAAAAAGAAGAAGCCAAAACACAATCCATGACAAACTTATTTAGAATATCTAATAATACATAAACTCGGACATAATTGAAATTAATGACACAGCTATTCCTCGTTACGATGTCTCCGTGGTCGATAGTCCATGTTATTCTGATAGCGGGTTCTCGTACGTCGGCCGGTTCGTGTGGTCTGTCGTGGCGTTGGCCTTAGGATCTCGTACTCTGGAGTAGGCCATTCGGATTCATCTGGTAGCGGCATAATGATGTCAGAGTAAGCGTTGATGTAAGACTGAATTGAAAAAACATTTGGAATCAAATGGTCCACGGTGACACTACAGTAATGACATACTGCATGGACATGATTGCACGAGAGGTGAAATGTAACCCATTTACCACAGCTACATGTTCGTGCATTTAAGTTCACCGTAAATGTCTCCCGCTGCGCAATGTAGGACGACCCATCCACCACCACAGAGTATATCCCTGCTTGTGCGTGGTGCTGTACAACACGACAATACAACATATTTTCTTCATTTTTCCTAATATGTTTCCAAACATTCACAGGAAAATTATACCCGGATTGCTGCCATACATATCCATTAGTTCGCCTCTCAGCGAAAATTTTTACCAGCTTATCATATGTGAACTGCACAATGGCATATACTGGCAAACAACGACATCCTTCAAGGACATGATTGAAACTTTCTAAGGAATTTGTAGTCATTATACCATAACGTGCCCCACCTTCATCATTTGTAGTCATGGGAGTTAGTGGGAGTTGGGAGTGGTTAGTTGGAGGGGTAATAAATAGTTAGGTGGGAGTGGGAAAGGGTAGTTAGTGGGGGTGGTTTGTTGTTAGTGGGAATAAATGAATGTTGGGAGTGAAAAATAAATAGAAAATACGAATTATAATGGCTACAGATAAATAGTTTACATACATTACCGAAATACACAATTACAGTTTACATACATAACCGAAATAAGATATAATAAACAAAAGGAAAATACTAAACATAATGGCTACCGGTACCACATCGGGTCCCACGTCGAGTGCGCCGTGGTAGCAGATCCGGAACCCGTTCGTCCTCCACTTCAACGTTACCAAACGTCTGAGGGATATCCGATGGTGCCGTGCTGCTGGAGAGATATTGTCCAAACTCATCCGTGAATTGACTTTCTTGAGTAAACACATAATCTCCCTCAAACCTGACTGGTGACGTACGATACATGCGTCGTGGAGTATATGAAGTGGATGGCTCAACGGTGCAAGCGGGTGTGTGGGTATCGCTCTCAACATACTCATCTTCGGTGGCATCCTCGTCTTGGGACATATGGGGGGATTGCACCGGGATATGAATCTCTTCTTCTTCGACTTGCAACCTGCGCTGACCACGCCCGCCACGCCTAACCCCTACAACAGGTGCATCGCGCCTTCTATCTGCCCTTCTCGGAATATGTCCTGGACTGTATACTGGTTGCTGCTGAGGATGATTGAGGATAGATGCATGTCCAAGAGCACGTATACAATCACCTAACAAGTCATGAACTAGCACTACCTCGTGAGAAGGTACAAAACCATCCGGGTGCCTACCTGGATCAAGTCGCTGATGACAATCTGCCATACAAGATAGCTACACACAATACCATGATTAGTCGCATAAAATTTAATAAGAAAAAATTTGAATATAAATAATACATACTTCTGTCTGTAGCTCAGGAGAAATGGGGACGTAGCCTTTTCTGGGCTGATGTGCAGGGTTTCCTATTTGTCTTCGACCATGGAGGTAATACCACAGACGATACTCAGGCGTGGCATCCGACATCCCAAATTCCATCAGTACATTTGCAACGTAACGTCCCTCCCATACACCTAAATAATGTCTCTCATTGTCACCAAGCTCCATAGTGGTCGACTTAATGTTATGTAGGCGTCTATCATACACAACATCGAGAGGAACATGTTGGAGGGCACCAAACTGTCTACAAAATCGATCTGGATAGCACATCTCCACGACATAGCCATAGATCAAAGGGATGCGTGATGTCCATATTGGGAGTCCGACTGAACAAAAGGGTGGTAGGGTCTCGAGATTCGGATACGGCATCCAAACAAACTGCATACATAAAAAAGGAATACAATAGACATTTAAAATATTATATGTATGCATAACATTGTGATGTGTTTAGTACTTACCTCTCCCTCGAGCAACCTATCTAGCTGGTCCCTGTATGCTCGTAAGGAGTGTGTCGTACAATCTGACCACCGATGATAACAAACCCATCTACCAATGGAGGATTAAACATTAACAGGAATAAAATAAATTGAGTATATACATGATAGACATAAATAAATGGAAAATACCTGACTCCATATGGAACATTAACCAGCTGCTCCAATGGTACAATCCCCCTAGGTCTAGTCATAGGCAGACGTTCCCATGACCAAAGCTGTAAGAGGATAAGACACCCTCCTATCTGAGATACATGTGTCATGCTCGCACGACACATACTACGATACAAGAAACTAAGAACCGTAGCACCTATGGCACGACCCCACACTAGCACAGAGTCGCCCATGATTACCTCCAACAGATACAAACTAAACTTATTTCCCGTCGTGTTGGGAAATAAGCTGCCACCCATCAACTTAAACATGATAGCTCTAGCATGCTGTTGGTAATCAACTTCTACACTGTGCTCTGTCAGCGTCTTCGGTTCAATTGCAGATATCTTTATCGTAGAAGACGTAATATCAGATGGTTCAGGTCTCAAACCCATCATGTCATCACAAATCTGAATCCACTGATCTCTTGATCGACTAGTGCCCCCGACAATGGAATGCCATCTACGGGCAATCCAAGTAAAACCTCAACATCTTGTAGCGTAATTCCCACCTCTCCAAATGGAAGATGGAATGAATGTGTCTCGGGTCTCCATCTCTCCACTAAAGAAGTAATCAGAGCCCAATCTAACTGTAATCCACCCACTTTCTCCACCCCATAAAATCTAAAATCTTGTAAGATCTCTATAACACGAGGTGGTCTATTAGCAACTAGAGTCCTCGGATATATACTAGAACAAGTCCTATGACACTTTAGACTCTTTTGGCATATTCTTCGTCCGCCCATACCGCATCACACCTATGTACTCCGCCTTCAAGAACTAAAACGTCTCGTGAAATAGGTCCCGGATGAACATCCATTTGCTTCAATGATTACAGAATAACAATTTTTAATAACAACGCATTTCATTCAAACATTACAACATAAGAATTTATTGATTTAATACAAGCACACAACTAGGCAATTACAAACTAATAATATATATCAATTATAATAAACAAATTCACCCAAATTGGTAATTCTATATAATTTTTACAATTTTATAAAACAATATATATATATCTATATATATAATAAATCTAAATATTATCATAAAATGATAAATATATATATAAATTAACTAAAAAATAAAAAATACCTCCATGAAACGGATTAGGCTAATCCAAATTGGTCGGTCGGCGCTTGGTGGTGGCGAGCTCTCTCGTCGGTCGGCGGTTGAGTGGACGGAAGGGGATGGCGAATGAGTGGACGGAAAGGGAAGGGGGTTGGGGTTATCCGAATAGAGAGACAGAGTAGGCTAATCCGTCTGGCTTTAATTTCATATGAAACGGATTTGCCTACTCCGTTTGGGGGTTTTTTTTAATATGGCGAAACGCAGTACGCTACTCCGTTTGATAAATTAAAAACCTAAAACGGATTTGGCTAATCCGTTTCATTTAAACTTTTCAAATTGAAACGGATTTGGCTAATCCGTCCTGCACTGCCAGGAAAAAAAAGTCTGACTTACACTGCCAGGAATGGATATTTTTTTGTTACATATGTTGGTAAATTACTCCTATATACGTCTTTATATACAATGTGGGCGATATAAATTGAAATATTTGTACTAAATAACACTAAAACTTAATAATGTCTATAATGTCTTGTGATGGCGAATATTTGCTTGAATAATGATTAATGCATAATGACTAAAAGTGCTACATTGAGAAAAAAACACATGTGGTGCTACTTAGAAAAAGTCATTATATTTTAGTATTATTTAAGTAAATTCCTCATATAAATTAATTTATTACTTTCTGTTAGAATATAAATAACTGTTCCTGGGCCACAACCACAAGCTTGAGCTTGTGGTTGAGTTGGTTCCTTGACATGGTATCAGAGCCTCGTTAACTAAGAGGTCACGGGTTCGAAACTCAGCGCCACCCAGTTTAAAAAAATTAAGGTTTCACGTGCAAGGCTCAAAAGAGACTACGGCTGCACGTGAGGGGGCGTCTTAGAATATAAATAACTGTTCTTGAGCTTGTGGTTGAGGCCCCATCTCAAATGTTGGTTCCTTGACACTTTCAAATGTTATGTAGATATTATATTTTTGAGTAATTATTTATGTTTTTATTTAATAAAATTTTTGCAAAACAACAACTTTATTCCACGCGTCAAATTTAACGCTATCCATGGATTCCATGCACACAAAATTATTTAAAAAGTGATCAATATGGTTAATTACTCCCTCCGTGTTTAACACGCTGGGAACACTTGCCTAATTTTTTTTTAAAGATTAAATAAATACACATCTAGGAAGGACAAGACTACTGAAGCTTTGGATATTTTTAATTAATTACCTATTATGATATGATATATGTAATTACATTATGGAATATAATTGATTCAAAAAATGTGTCACCATGACATACTGAATCTATACATTATTTAAAAAGACATGAATTTTTTTCCGCCCATGCATGACACTCATATATGGAAAGTGTTGTTGACAACATAAATGGTAGTTTAGTTATTTTACCTTAATGTTTTCCTTCCATTTTAAGTATGTTTTCATTTTTATTTTTATTTAAATGTTACACAATTTAAGCATTTAAATTAAATAGTAGTGAACCAGTGGGGAATTGAAGTATGGAAATAAAATACACTGCCATTTAAATATTAAAATAAAATTTAAAAATTACAAATTAATAAAGTATGGGTAGGATTAAAATGATTTATTTCAAACAAACTACAAATTAATTATTTATCATTAAAAATATTATAATTTACAAGCACAAACGCGTAAAAATGGTAAGTTTTCTAAAATAGATTAGAAAATAAATATGGTAAGGTAAGTAGATGATAACATTTAAATAAAAGAATAAAATAAAAAACTACAAATTAATATTAATACTATAATTTAAAAGAATGGAAACGTTTTAAGAATGACAAATGTTCTAATTAGAAAATAAATAGATATGGTAGGGTAAGCAATTAGCACCATTTAAAAACGAAAATAAAATAAATGGTAAGTTTTTTAAAATAAATTAGGTCAGTGTTCTAAAATAAAAGAGAAAATAAAATACTCCCTCCGTCCCCAATTTGATAACAAATTGCGGGTTACGGAGTAAAATTTCTTACTTTTTGAAATCATTTTATTTACAAATTGATATATGAATAAGATATTAAAATTACATACTAAACAACTACGTCAAAAGTTCAACAAAACAAGAAGTGATAAGAATATTTTATTTTATCAAATACTTAATGAAATCGCGTAAACAAACAAAAGTTATCGAGAGGAGAGAAAAAAATTGTAATCTATTTAGGGACAGAGAGAGTACATCTAAAAATGATAATTGTTATAAAATAAATTAGAAAATAATGTGGTTTGGTAAGTAATTAGTACGATTTAAATACGGAAATAAAAAAAATTGCAAAATTAATATTAATACTATACTTTAAAAACATATTTTTTTAAAAAAGGTAAGTGTTCAAATTAGAAAATTAGAAAATAAATACGGAATGGTATGTCACCACGATAAGCAAATGGTACCATTTAAACACAAAATAAAATAAATGGTAAGTGTTCTAAAATAAATTAGGTAAGTGTTTTAAATAAATTAGAAAATAAAATAATTATTAAAAAGATAAGTATTCTAAAATATATTAGAAAATAAATACGGTACGATAAGTAAATGATACCATTTAAGTAAAAAAAATAAAATAGAAACCTAAAAAATAATACTATCAATTAATACTACAATTTACAAGCATGGTAACGTGTAAAAATATATGGTAAGTGTTATAAAATAAATTAAAAAATAATTATGGTACATTAAGCAAATGGTACCATTTAAATGCAAAAATTAAAAAATTATAAATTAATACTATTAATACTGTAAGCATGGAAACATGTAACAATGGTATAAGTATTCTAAAATAAATACTATTAATACTATAATTTACAAGCATGGATACGTGTAAAAATGGTAAGTGATCTAAAATAAAATAGAAAATAAATACCATAGGGTAAGTTAATGGTACCACTTAAATACGAAAATAAAATTAAAAAATACAAATTCCAAAATAAATACATTAATATGTTGAATTATTACTTAGATAATTCAAATTATTGAATTATTATCAAAAACAATATCTGAAACATATTGAATTATTGTTACGGAAACTGGTATTTAGTCAT